TCATTATAGAATATCTACTGTGAAATAGGGATGTGATTCCTAATTCCAAATCAACTAATTATTATTTATTATTTAATTATCGTCTTCAAATTAAGTGATGGTTGCTTTTAAAATAATAAATTTAACATAAGCAAATCCGTATCTATCTGCAGCAAACCTTCAGACTAAGCGAATTTCCATTTACCTGGCTTAATTAATACAAAGATTAATTATTCCCTTAAAATGGTCATTTTTCCTATTAAAATAACATTAAGTTAATTTTAATATGAGTACTTAGGTTTGCTGCTACAGGGAAGATAGGAGTGTTTTTGTTGAAATGTTGATAGCTAAGTATGATTGTTATTGGTCTGCCAATCCTGTAATACTTTACAATTGCTCGAATTCGAGCAACATGTACACTAGTACTTATTTAATACGCAAGCAGGATTTTTGTGACGATTACTCCTCCGAAACTACTGAACCGATTGACATGTTTTTGGTCTCATTGGAAAGAGCGTAACGTGAAGTTGTGCAGGAGACTTTCATTTTAGGGAAATAATTAGAGAGTGAGGCCCTGGGGCCCTTTAAAGTTTCGTATTTCTCCATAGATTAACATGGGAAACAAAAATTGTTATGAGCCTCCAGCTGTGCTGTTGTCAGAAATTAAAAGTGAGAAGAAGAACATAATGTTAATTGTAAACAGTCAATAAGTTTGCTAATTTAACAGTTTGCTACAAACATTTACTGACTTGGTTGAAATGAAATGTTTACTATTTGAATTTGGGTTGGCGTCAATATTACAATAGAAAAAAGCGAGAGAGCCTGGGTAAATTGATGTCTTCAAAAGAAAACTGAATTAACACTGTGCTGCATTTCTTAGTAAGCATTGAAAGAGCTGATTTAAACTATGGAAATATAGGAAAGTCATTTATAACACCACCAAGGAGAAAAAATATAATTTTGTTTAGAATTTATAATTGTTATTATGGCAATCTAATGAGGCTATGAGTAAGGCTATTTGTAGAAAACACTAAAAAAAAGATTAGCTTTAGACAAATGATAAGATATTTACAGAGATTATATCGATATGTTATGTAGCTACATCATGAGTATTTCCAAAATCTTTAAATCGAATATTTTTTACATTCGTCAGAAATTATGACTGTTATTCGTTTTAAAATAACGCCTTTAATACTTAGCATTTGCTCGAATTCGAGCAACAGGGACACTAGTTTTAAATATTGAGTCTTCTTGCAAAATTAATGTCGACATTATCTAGGGGTTGTTCGGCAAAAATTTTATTTTTAATGATCCCCTAAACAGAAAAATATAACGGTGTAAGATCGCAGGACCTTGAGGGCCAATCAATTTGCAAGAGAATTTGAAGTTTGAAACAACAATTAAAATCTATGCAAATATATAGTTACAATTGTAAAAAACCGCTTTGAAAAATGCATTGAAGTTAGTAAAATAGCATAGTTTGAACAATTCCTTTAAGTTTACAACCTATGTGTAGTGTAAATTCAGTTTCAATATAATTATTATATAAGAGTCATCTGCAAAAATCGTCCCACTAGCATTAAAAGGCATCATGCGTGGGAACGCATATAGCTTCCGTTTCCCAGGAAATTTATAGACTTTTGAGCACTAACTTCTGTCACAGTATTATTCTTATTTCCTATCCAAAATATAAAATTTGTTTAGTCGAATTTGACGCTTTGGTAAACTAGTCAGTCTACCACTTGAGTTTGACCGTGTAAGTTGGTGTCCGCTATTGCGATTTATGTTTTTGGAATAAAGTGAATAATGAATCCGATAGAGTTTCCGGAGGTGCTCGAGTGCGACGGGTTGATGGGTGGTAAACTGTTTCACATTGGTGATGGATATTATTATGCAAAATATGTGAAAAAATGACAATTTGTCATATGTGCGTTGCAAAACAAGGCTTTGCAAAGGGGGGGCGAAATTAATTAAAGTGAACGGTAGTCTTCAACTGCAACGCACTCGGACGGATGTGAACCGGATATGATTTACGAAGAAAGTGTAAAGCTGAGGCAGTGTATTTTAGATCGATGCAAAGTCGAAAGAGTCCCGTTAACAACAATATTCAGGGAGGAATGCAACAGGTAAGCTATTAACTGATTTTGTAAATTCCTCTACCTGTAATATTAGTTAGCCGATTGTAATGCAATTACCTTTGAATTGTATTCATTGGTAATCATTTTGTCTGCTGTCTTTAATGTAAATTATATTTGTTTAAAGTTTTTTTATAGCATAGGGCCTAGATATAGTTTCTTTAATATCTCAAAAGACGATTGATAAGGCACAACAATATTTCTAAAGTTTATAACAGCTGACTTAGTTTTGCTAATGATTTATTGTGAGTGAATAAACTGAAGATGGAAGGATTTGTGATTAAATATGAAGAAGAGTGACATTACAAAAATGTTCATTTAAATTATATAATTAGTATTTTTGCAACTTCAAAATTGAAGCTTAAAACGTCAAAAAATAAAGAAAAAACCAATATTCGATAAATTTATTTGATCTAGAGTGTGTAATTCATTTTTTATTGATGATGCTGATGAAGCATGCGGCTGGTTTGTTACAAATATCCGTGATCTGGACTTTGACAAACTCAAATGTTGCGTTTGTGGAGAGATTCTACCTGTTCTTTGGAGTTTAGACAAGTGACCCAGTTTCCACACCACGGTAAGCTGTTAGGCTAGGCCGTAGGGTCCCGGCGCGTTCTTTTTGTTAACCCAGAGCTTCACCAAGAGTCCTAACCTCTGGGGTAGGCTGCCCCAACCACCGCAGCCTACGGTGATGGCCACTCCATAACAGATTTGCCACCTCCCACTTTTTTTGTCCTTTGACTAATGTAATGGGTTATTTACTTGGTGAAGCCTATTAATTAACCCTTTTTTGAATCCCAGCGAGCGGTTCTTTGCATTTTATCATTTAAATTTGTAATACAGTACTATAAGGTGGTTTGAAAATAATTTTGAGCCAATTTATTTATATAATTTATTTATTATTTGTCGTGTTTCTCACAGTATATATCATCAAATATCATTTTTGAATGCTGTTTAGTCTTACTTGGATGAACTACCAAGTTGTTGTCACCATATGCAAAATGGCCCATTTCCTTAGGCAGAGCCAACGGTAAAAACTGGTATTTAGACTGATTAAGGGATTTTCAAAAATGTAGATATTTTTAAAAAGAAGACCATTTGAATCGAATAATAAATTAAACACAATATTAGTTTTACCCGAGTTGCTGGGGACTGAAAGGAGCAGCAAATTAAGTCTAGTAACAGATGGCCGTGTTTATTTTTAGATGCCAGACCCTCGCCAAAATACTTGTCATAGTTTCTTAACGTCAAAGGGGGGCTCTGCTGCGCCACACCCATCGTGTTCAACTGATTGTAGCACACTCACCCTATCGTTTATAAATACGACCGGATGCAGCTGCTTGATCTACATGTAGCCGTCACCGGATGTATGTTCTAAATAAGAATGTCGCTTTTACTAAGCCACGTGTCACTTTTCTTGTCAAAGCCAAGCCATCTGACTTTTATTTTATCTCCTTTCCGTTGTAACACTCTTTCAACTAAATATACATTTCCGGTCTTTGATTTATTTAGCTCTTGTTCATAAAACCCTCCCTTTAGTATTTCACCATTATGGTCTTTGAGTACATATGTAGGTGGTTTTGTCGGTTTGATTGCGTAAATGGTGAAAACCTCGTTTGTCCAGTTTGGCAGATAGCCTTTAGTGAAAACTCTTTTATACTTGCTTATCCTAACACTATCTCCCAGTTTATATTTTGGTGCCACCCTTTTTCCCTTCTTGTTTATCCTTTTTAATATTTCCTTTACATTCTTTTGTTTCACATCTTTTGGTTTCATACCAATTGTTCTATGTACCGAGTTATTATATCGCTTGAGAATATCAGGAAGTAATGATAACCATTCATATGTTCCCTTAGCGGTAAACTCTTTCCACATCCACTGTTTCAAAGTTCTGTTAAATCTCTCCACGATACTAGCTTTTAAATCGGAAAACGTAGAATAATGGTTAATTCTATACTTTTTCATGAAAGCACCAATATGTTTATTAAACCATTCGGTTCCCTGATCGGTTTGAAAGTGTTTCATCTTATGTTTGATCAATATAGGTTCAAGTGCCTTGGCAACTGCTGGACCTGTCTTATCTTTTAACGGGACTGCAAAACCGAATTTTGAAAAACAGTTAATCATAGTCATTATGTACCGATTACCTTTATTTAACTTTGCATAAGGCTGCATCTCTACGAGATCGGCCTGGTACAAATCATTCAACCCTTTAAGAGTCACTTTCCGTCTAGTGTAATTCTTTCTAGCAGGTTTGTGTAGCTCTTCAGCTATAGCACGTCTGACATCCATTGTTAAAATGATACAACTTAACAGTGTATTGATAACTTATTAAGTTTTTAGAAATGCTGCGGCCCCTCCACCGCAACAGCTCGTGATGGCCTCCAAAAAAAAACTAGTTGCCATCTCCGTTTATTATTCTTATTTTTACATTTAGATTTTACAATATTTACAAGTGACTTTATGGAAGATAAATAAAGGAGCCATGCAAATGCGGCATGTTTCTTTTGGTACCTTAAACTTTGGATACATGTATCGCCTTATATGTCTCTTCGCCTTAAGTGAGAAGGAAGATCAACCATTCTTCCACAGTCAATACATAACCTACTAGAGCCTCGAAAAGACTCGTAGTATTTTAGGGTTACATAACCACAGTTTTCTTTATGATAGTTCAAAATGTCCTGCCATAGCGTTGATGGAAGATCAACACTTTCTTTTACATAAAGTAAAAGGATGACGGTTGTGTAAATCTTTCTAATTGGAAGCTCGGACAGGGACAACATGATGGTAAGAATGTTCCAAATAGAATAAACTATCTTTTTATTTGCCCCCAGAAAAGCTGCGGCCCCTCCACCGCAACAGCTCGTGACGGCCTCCAAAAACAAACTAGTTGCCGTCTCCGTTCCCCAAAACGTCTCTTACCACCTTCTCAAGGATGGGATTATGGATTGTAAACAGGAACATCTCAATCTGGTCCATTTGTATAGACGTGCTGCACAAACGGTGCATCTATCTCTTGGAGTTTTAAATTTTGGTACACATACAATCGTTCCAAACCATCGGAAAGAAATATTCGCTGCCTCTCCAAAATCCTTACAAAACTCTTCATTGTCGAAAAAACAAATATGGTGGTAGACATAGCCGCAGTTTTCATGGTGGTAATTGAATATTTAATCTTTAATCATAGGTGGGATTGCTGCTTGCTTTACAGTATTTAAAAGAAACAGATTATCAGTAATCGTTCTAGCTGAAAACTCGAGTAGGTACAACATGGTGGTGTAAAGGTTCCAAGTGGAATGACACTTACCCCTCCACACGTGGTTTACTGGCCTTTTAGTCAGCCGCGCCAGTGACCTTCACACATGGTTTACAGGCTTTTTAGTCAGCCGTGCCAGTGACCAACATTCACTCATGGTTTACGGGCTTTTTAGTCGGCCGCGCCAGTGACCAATAGCATTCACACATGCACAAGGAGTAGCCCAAGTCCCTCCAGATTTGAGCGCCTCAATGTACAAACAGATTTAAAAATAGCCCCACTCCAGTTGGATCTCAGTCACCATGTGCTTCGCATCATGTTTCGGGTGGGTGTTTTCCATCAAACGCGAGCCGGTGGAGCCAATATACGAAGAACTTCAACCCCTGGATCTAAGGCCACCACCGTTACCGCCAAGAAAAACTGCGTATGCCGCCATTAAGGTATGTAGCGATAGTGGAGAGGGGAGCGCTACACATGTGCAGCATGTGCAACATGTGTTCAGTGTCCAACATGATCTCTCTAGTGTTGGTTGTAAATGATTTCATTCAAAATTATTTATGGTGTAGGATTTGTTAATTTTTAAATTTAAGCGAAGAAAAAGAAGACGAAGACACAGATTCGGTATTTGGGTTTAATTGGTAGCAAGGAGGGTGGAATGGCTGGAACGAGGTGGATGTTGGGGACTGGGAGTACTTGAGTGATAGTGATGATTTAGGAGTTGAGATTTTGGTGAGTTTTTTGAATTTTAAACCCATATGGAAGTGTATCATAATTGCTACTATGTTTCCTCTTTGGTCCCGTAATTTTAAACTGTTTGACTTCACTGATTGTAACTATGTTCCTATTCTTTGTTCGTCTGATTCTATTTTCCTCAATGTCCATTGTTTGTGCAGCATCACCAAGGACCATCTCTTTCAAACTGTCAAATCCAATCTTTTTAGAAGTTTTCATGTTTAATGTAAGCCCTTTTACTTTACATACGGGAATCAATTTTTGTTTGTTTGTTGACCACACAAGGTATGCATAGGTTTTCGGACCTCCAGAAACAAACTCTACTATATATGATCCAGGGCCGTACTCGGCCAACTCATCGGTCATTTCCCCTAGATAATCTCCCGTGGGGACTCTGTACAAACCACCCTTATATACATATAGTACAGAATCAGTATCATAATACAATACCTGACCACCCAGGGCATCTAGATGCTCATAGAGCTTCAATCTCGCTTGGGCTGTGGTGTAAGCTGCCAACACAACATTTACATTTTGCAATGGCTCCCCAACCTCCTCAATATACTCCCAGCTGACAACAAGAACCTTATCATTGACAATCTGTACTCTATTTACATCTATTTCAGGGCTAGTTAACATTTTGAAAAGTGTTTTAGGGTCCCTGACGATTGTAGCTTTGGTCTGATTTTCACGCTGTCCAAATTTTCCCCAAAAAGAGTTCAACATCAGTTTAGCTAACGACCTCAATCCACCATTCTTGATAATTTGGTCTTTTTCCAGTTTGACACCCTCTTTTTTTAAATAATCGTCAACGTACTGATCCTTATCTTCCTCGGTTTCACACCAACTAGGGAACCCAGTTGCTTCCTGTTTCATTTTTAAAAATTTATTTATAAAGTCAGTGAACAATCCCCCGTTTTCATATGTGGCTACCTTATACTCCCAAAGTTCATACATGTCAAGCACAACATAACCCTTTTCTACAGCTTTACGAACTTCGTCCATGGTCCAGGTCCCAATAAGTGCTCTGTCACCACTTTCGTGGTCGCAATCAGTTTGAATCTTACCATCTCCACAAGTCGCACACAAAACAAACATTAACTTGTCATTCATTTTGGCTGGGAGAACGGGGTGATAGAGCTCACGAGGTGGAAGTACTTTACACTTTAATAGACCCTCAACATTGAGACCTCTCTGTCTACACTCTTTGTCTCCTACATAGATCGTTGGATGGCCTACAGGGTACTTGCCATATTTACATACCCAGGGATAGAGAGAGCATACATCCACATACTCAATGGTTTCCCCTTCGGCGCATTTGTGATAGGTTTTGGCATTCCCGGTTCGGCCCCCAAAAAATGCTTGCCTCGGATTCAGAGGTAAATTGTTGAGGATCGGCAACTTTTCTAGGTGTTTCAGGTTTTCTGTCTTTTTTAACTTTCTAAACTCACATTCCCACATTTGTACAACGTTATCACCCAACTTTGCTATTTTCGATTTGGTCCGTTCATACCGCAAATGGAGTGAGTCAGAGGGATCCTCTTTCAAAGCAAGTTCACGATCATAGGGAAAGCATTTAGGGCAGCCATGCCAGTAGCAGCCTTGAAATTCATAAATATTTTGACCGTCAAAACCATCAACTTTCATTCCACTAATCTTAACTTCTTTTCCACGGCCGGCGTGTTCTATTCTAACTCCACGTTTCTCCTCTTCCCACGTTAGCCACTGTAACGCGATTGCCGATTGGGCGTCTGTAAGCCTATAGCCATTTTTAGGAACGATGCCGATGGTATTTTTCTTCAAAAATTTCCCACGGAAGGCCAAGTTACAAGCACTGGCAATGGTTACAGCCTCGAGAAACGGGTCCACATTACACTCTTGCAGGAAGATTGAACGGAACTTTAAACAAGCTTGAGCCAAGATATCAACGTCTGACATACAATACTCTAGGATTTCTTTCTTAAAGTCAAATGTAACGTGGTTTCCAACCTGATCATTATACCATCTTTCAAAATCTTTGTGTGATTTTTCAAACATAGATTCTGGGCAGTAAAACTCCTTTGCCGGCATAGGACCCACATAATTTTGATTCTTAAGGGTGTTGAAGAGGTGGGGAAAATAGCCTTTCTTCTTTTCCGGGGGAAGGTCAAAGGCTTTAGGTAGTGCAGCAAGAGGCATAGGGAAATAACTAAGTGAATCAACAAACCTCACATTGTCAATCTCCATCAAAATTACCTTAGTTCCCCGCATTACAAGTTTCGGAGTGAACTTCGTATCCTCCAGCACATACTTGAGCAAAAACTGGAAATCAAAGCCCTGCCCATTGTGTGCGATGACACAGACATCTTTAAAATTTTTACGGACTTGCATCACATAGTCCATGAACTGAGTGATTGGTTCAGAACTAAACACTCGCGTACGATTTTTACAAGCCATACAAAATTTAGCCTCAATACACTGATAGCAAAACTGTTGTGACACACACAAGTTCACTTGATGCAATTTAGACTCGGGATCTGAGGGCAGGGACTCATCTTGACGGGTTTCCAAGTCAAAGAAAATAAACAAAAAGTTTTTGGATTTAGGCTTTCTTGTGTCTGGTTTCATATAGCATTTGTGGTTAGGGTCTTCAAATGAACAGCAAGGTTTGCAATATACTTCACCACATTTATGAGGCTTAGACCGATCTCTAATCCAAACCAATTTCCCACAGTCTAGACACTTTTTTACATTTTTACATCTATCAGCTTGATGCGCGATAAAACATCTCTGATTTTTATAAGTCATGTTACATTTAGGGCACAGAACACCACCACTCTCCACTACACAAGGAGGTGAGATAGTTTGACACTGTGGGCAAATGTTTGAGCAACGATGCTCTCTTTTATGGTCGTAGGGTACATGACAGGCTTCACAGAAATAATTACAAACAAAAGCAGCAGTCAAACAATTAATCACATTGTAGTGTCCATTGTGAAAAATCAAGTTAATTTTGAACTTGGGGTTTTCTACATTTCCCTCAAAGTAGACATCACGTCCTTTCCTGTCATAGTTGTACACGACAATTTTGTAGTCTCTCAAAAACCCCTGAAATTTTTCAAGTTCCGGGATCCCAGCTCCACCCTCTGGCATTTCAACCCTGGCTCGACACACAAGTTCCTGAGCCCTAACAGTCTGTCTTTTCCCATCATCTTTTCTAACTGCATTGTAAAGGGGGTCTTTGGTTACATTGGCCATAGCCACTACAATTGCACGGGGTAAACACAATTTATCTTTATTATTAATGATAACAATTCCCCGTCTTGACTTAAATTCCTCATCAAACGTATTGTAAAACCCAGGCCTTACTCTCCCAGAACCTACAGGAAGATTAATTCTAGTGCATTCCACTTTAAAGGTGTCGGTAGATTTGATGGATTCAGAGTTTGATTGCACAATACCACCAAAGATTTGCCACAAAACATTTTCATCAATTTCAGTAGCCGGACGAAAATTTACATAGCCAGGTGCTTTTGATTTCAAGTTGAGACTTTGTAGAGTAAACCCAAGTTGATCGTTTTCAAATGCTTGTTCTTTCATACTATTTACAATTTGCGCAAACCCTTGTCTCAACCAATCAATCTCATTAGTCTCTGGAGGCGGATTAGTGAATTTAAATACTGTTTTACTTCCATACAATCTAAATTTATTTACATAAGTTTGATCAGTACTAATCAAAGTAACAGGCTCAACTACTTTAACGGGTTCAACTACTTCATCGGATACATTATCAGCCATACTTACATCCATCGTAGTCAGATGCCTAGAGCAAAGTGAAAGGGACACAGATACACTAGTTCTAGTGGGGGCACACAGCTAAATATAGCACACGGATTGCACAATACAACACAGGGACACAAGATGTGGTGGGGGCACAGCTGCGCGCACACAAAGCTTAATATAACACACTGATTGCACAACACGTTACACAAAAAAAACAATGTTCACTTACTATAAAACTGATGTACTACACAATAAATAATCAGACTAACATTAACACTAGAAATAACTTGCAAACATAACCTCAAAACGTCAAACACAAGAGCACACATCCAACACGTTCAACTGCCAAAAGCAAAGTGAAAGAAAATTAGTACTGAAAAGTATAAATAGCAAAAATTGACCAATCACACAACAGATTACCTATTTATGACCAATCACGTACAAGCTTATTACAACCAATCAGCAACCAGGATACACACAATTAACACTTCCTTGTTTTGTTACAGAACCGTGATGATGATGAAGAAGAAGAAGAAAATTTGTAGAAATATAATGTTTGCAATAACTTTTTAGATTAATGTAAATTAATAGGTATTAGTAATAGCCATTAAACAAAACTTTACAAATGACCACCAATTCTTCTTAGACATTACTAATTTTTAGATAGAGAAATGTAAATTTAAATCGTAGATAGATAGTATTAAACCATAGTATTAAAACCATTATATACTAAGCAATGTGTATAATTATCCAAGAAAAAAACATTAAATTTTTATTTAATTTTATAAAATTCTACATGCTGTAGTCCATAACAAAAGCGAATCAAATGATAATTCACGTATCCAATGTTAGCAGCATCTTGTTAACAGCACAAAAAACGCTTAAGCGGATCTTTACCGTTGAGAATAAAAAACGGCCTTTGTAAAGGCCACCAAATTTTAAAACGTTAAATCAAAATTTCATGGATGTTATGTCCAAGTCCAAGTCCATATGATTGTGGCGACTAGCGCCACGTCTGGGGGAAGTGCCTGCTCGCTGGGAGCATATACTTCCGGTCTGCTGTGGGTCCAAGCCCTGGTAGCTCAGCTACCTGTAGACGTCAACGTCGTTCTGGGAGTTAGTCGTCGATCCGGGGGCGAAGCTGGGGAACATCCTCAGCGACCAGGTCCCTGATGTGTTCCCACGGAGAGTCATCCGCCGTCTCTTCAAGTCTCGCTCGAAGGCCGTCTACGAAGTCTCGGAGAGTTGTCACTGCCGTGGAGTCCCTGATGACGGAGTTCCTCACGTACCAGGGTGAATCTGTCGCCTGCCGAAGAGCCTTGCTCTGGACGACGAGCAGCCTCCGTCTAGCGGTTCTGCAGGTGAGGTGGTACCATGCAGGGGCTGCGTACGTGAGGACAGGCCGAAGCAGGGCCGTGTAGAGTCTGACTCTTGCAGCCGTCGACAACTTCCGTGACTTGAGCAGCGGGCGGATGGCGCCAAGACCTTTCCTGGCGAGGTCGCAGACCCTCTCGACGTGGGGAGTCAGGGTGAGTCGCTGATCCAGCAGGACGCCGAGGTACTTCACCCGGCGCTTCCATGGGATGTCGGCCCCGTCTAGGTGGAGGTGTTGACCATCGTCCTGCCTCCTCGACCTCGTGAAGGAGATGGCCTCACTCTTGTCAGCGTTGACTTTGACTCGCCACTTCGTCAGCCACGGCAGCAACAGGTCCAGCTGTCGCTGGACATACACCCTGGACATCCTTAGGTTGGCGGAGGTGGCAGTGAAGAGCGCATCATCTGCATAGAGCGAGAGCTGCACTCTCGGCGCCAGGGGTATGTCATTGGTGTACCACAGGTAGAGTATCGGCCCGAGAACCGACCCCTGTGGCACACCCGAAGAGACTGGCCGTGGTGTGGAGGTCGCCCGTCCAACGGAGACCCTGAAGCGGCGAGCGGTCAGGTAGCTCTTGACGAGCCTGTAGATCGAGCCGGGTAGAGGGGAGGACGCCAGCTTGTAGAGAAGTCCCTCGTGCCAGACCCGGTCGAAGGCTTTGCTCACGTCGATCAGGACTGAGGTCGAGTGGTGCTTCCGTTCCATCGCTCCAGCGATGGTGTTGAGGACCCGCCGCAGCTGGAGGGTGGTGGAGTGGCCCCGCCTGAAGCCGTACTGCTCAGTCCTGATCGAAGAGAAGAACTCCTCGGGGAATCTCGCCAGGATGATCCGCTCCAGCATCTTGGAGAGCACAGGCAGGAGGGAGATCGGCCTGTGGTTCTCGGGGAAGATGTGGTCCTTGCCGGGCTTGGGGATGAGTATGACATTCGCCAGCTTCCAGGTGTCGGGGAAGTGGGCCAGCCTCACGCAGGAGTTGAAGAGGCAGGTGATGACAACAATCACCCAAGCCGGCAGGTTCTTCAGTGCTGGAGTCCCGAGGGAGTCCGGTCCAGGGGCCTTCTTCGGACGGAGTCGAGCGATGTGGCCCTTCACCTCGCTGACGGTCACGTGGGGGATGTCCTCTTCGTCGGAGTCCGGCTCGTAGGTCTCTACGAAGTCGTCCACAACCTCGCAGAAGTCTTCGTCGTAGACGTCCGGGTGTGGGGAAAACTGGTCTTCCAGCGAGTCTGCGAAGGTCTCTGCACGGTCTTCGGGCGAGTAGACGAGCCCGCGTCCCCCATGCAGCGGCCTGTTGTGGGTCTTCGTGCCGCGCAGAGCCTTGGCGATCTTCCAGATCCCGTCGTTGGTGTCAGCCTGGCCCTCGACGAAGTCCTCCCACTCCTGGGACCGATGCTCAGCCAGCAGTCGGGAGCACCTCCTGGCCTGCCGGTTGAAGTCCGCCTTCGCTCGAGGGCAGCGGGACTGTTGGTACGCCCTCCTCAGGCGACGTCGCAGGGTGATCTCCTCCCGCAGCCCCTGGGGAAGTGGTGGGGGGGCTCTCGGGTCAACGTCAGAGCTGGCGGCAACCACAGTGTCCTGCAGCAGCGTTGACAGGTCCAGGACTTGCTGGTCGAGCTCCTCTGCCGTCTCAGGTGGCGGGGGAGGCGGTCGAGGGGCGTTGGCCAGGAGGTTGGCGAACTTCGCCCAGTTCACCCTCTTCCTGCGGACTGGAGGGCGGTCGGGGACTCCTCCCTGTGGCAGATCGATGATCACCGGGACGTGGTCGGAGGAGAGGTCGGAGACGACGAAGACTTCGACTGGGCCATCGAACGAGCCAGCCAGACCGATGTCCAGGATGTCAGGCGGGTGTCCAGCACGGGGGTAGTGTGTGGGGTCGGCCGGGGCAACCACGTTGATGTGAGGGTGGGCAGTGAGGTAGCGCCTGAGAGCGGCTCCAGTGAAGTTGCCTCTCCTGCAACCCCAGTCTAGGTGCTTCGCGTTGAGGTCGCCTGCCAGAAGCGCCGGGGTGCCGGGGGGCAGCAGCATGTCCAGGAGTCCGGGGTCGAGGCGTCTCGCTGGGGGGTTGTAGGCAGAGGAGACTTCCAGCTCTGCACCGTCATGCTGGAGGGCGATGGTCGTCACTTCGATGCCAGGCGGGAGGTTCCTGACGATCGGCCTGTGGGTGACCCGACGATGAACCAGTATCGCCGAGCCACCACTGGGACGTTGTTGCAGAGGCCTGTCTGTCCGGTGAGTGTAGTAGTTTCGGACGTTGAACCTGTCCCCACCGCGCAGATGCGTCTCTTGGATGAGGGCAACGTCAACGTCCATGTCAGTGAGGAGTTGTGTCAGCTCGTAGCGTCTGTCGGCAAGCCCGTCGGCGTTCCACGTGAGGATGCGAAGTCTACGCATGATGTTGGGTCAACTGGTCAACAAGTCGCTCGACGACGACCAACATGCTCCTCAGCGTGGAGATGAGTTGAGCCAGCTCAGACTGCTGCGACGGGCTCCTAGACGACTGGGCCGGGGTTGAGGCCGGCTCGATAGGCTGGGCAGGGCGGCTGGGCTGCGGGGCAGGGCTGCTGGGCTGCGGGGCTGGGCTGCTGGGCTGCGGGGCTGGGCTGCTGGGCTGCTGGGCAGGGCCGCTGGGCTGGCGAGGTGGGACTTCCAGGCGAGGGCGGGGAGTTCGCCTCACTCGAGGGTTCGGGGTCTCGGCCGGGGCGGCGGACTGCTCCACAGGAGGGGTGGGTGTTCGGGGTCTCGGGCCGGAAGCTCTGCCGCGGTTGTCCGGGTTCCGAGGAGCTCGACGACGTCTTCTGCGCTGAGTCCGGAAGCCCTCGTCATCGACCTCGGGAGCCCCAGGCGCCTCTTCGTCCACTGGGTCAGGTCTCGGAGCCGGTGGGTCGATCCGGCGCGGTTGACGGCCCGACGGTGCCGTGGACGATTTCGCCGCAGCCGCGTACGAAGCCCGTTGCAGATTCTTGTAGCAAGTGCAGCCCCTGTAGTTGGCAGTGTGGGCCTCACCACAGTTGCAGCACTTCGCCTGGGCTGCTGGCTCCTTGGGGCACTCGGTCGCTGGATGGGTGTCACCGCAGCGGACACAGCGGACCTGGCGGTGGCA